TTCAAACCAAAATTTTGCAAGGCCAGATTAAAAACAATTCTTCTGTGAATATGAAATAATCTTCACAAACCATTAATGATTGGTGCTCTCTTACTCTAGAACATGGCACAGGGCAGCTATGTCCCAAAGGAGGTGTCAATCCCCCCCAATCTCCCAGAATAGAGTAGAGTTTCCTGTGGACTGTCAGCTGTTACTGAAATATCACTCTCAGCTACCCCAGACAGGATTCCCCATAATAAGAGACGAGGGAGCAGTCTCTATATGGGGACAGCCACAAATATTAGCAGATTATGGAGGTCATCATACTTGGATCACATACAAAGCATGGATCACAAGAAAGGGAAAAAATTATAAGTACATTTGAAAGTTTAAAATAGGAATGACCAAACATATACATCAAAAGAAAACTAATACTCACCACTTGCGGTAGTTCTGGTAGTACTCTTGACAGCAGTAGTTTTGGTAGTTGAAGGAGTGCTTCTCCTGGCAGTAGTAGTTTTCACAATGGAAGGACTGTTAGTGATCATGGCAGTCGTAGTTTTCACAATGGAAGGACTGTTAGTGATCTTGGCAGTAGTAGTGTTGGTAGTGGAAGGGCTGCTTGTACTCTCAGTAATAATACCACTTGTAGTAGAAGGGATGCTGGTACTCCACGCAATAATAGCAGTTGTAGTGGAAGAGCTACTGGTACTCCCAGCAATAATAGCACTTGTGGTGGAAGGGCTGCTGGTACTCTCAACAATAATAGCACTTGTAGTGGAAGGGCTGCTAGTACTCTCAGAAATAATAGCACTTGTGGTGGAAAGGCTGTTGGTACTGTCCGCAATAATAGCACTTGTGGTGGAAGGGCTGCTGGTATGCTCAACAATAATAGCACTTGTAGTGGAAGGGCTGCTAGTACTCTCAGCAATAATAGCACTTGTAGTGGAAGGGCTGCTGGTACTCTCAGCAATAATAGCACTTGTAGTGGGAGGGCTGCTGGTACTCTCAGCAATAATAGCACTTGTAGTGGAAGGGCTTCTAGTGCTCTCAGCAATAATCGCACTTGTGGTGGAAGGGCTGCTGGTACTCTCAGCAATAATAGCACTTGTAGTGGAAGGGCTGCTGGTACTCTCCGCTATAATAGCACTTGTAGTGGAAGGGCTGCTGGTACTCTCCACAATAATAGCACTTGTAGTGGAAGGGCTGCTAGTGCTCTCAGCAATAATAGCACTTGTGGTGGAAGGACTGCTGGTACTCTCAGCAATAATAG